CCTCCCCCCCCTTTGTAAGTCACTAAATAGTATTGCTGCTGTTTGTGTATATTTTTTGTGTATTTGCTAATTTTTATTAACTTCTAGTTTTTCATTAAATAAATATGACTTTCTTTTCTGTAATTCAGGTTTTTCTCTTTTTTGTATCTTTTTAAAATTAATTACAGGTGTCATATTTTGATATGCATAATTGCTATGGTAAAACTTATATTTCTGAATGTTTGGTAAATTTTGTCTCTTTCCAGTAGTCAATTCATTGGTGATACTGTTCTTAATTGAGCTATTTTGTGAATGTACTGAACTCGAAAGAAAGGAGTACTTATGTTCAAAGATGTATCAGGAAAGAGAGCTCCTTTAAAAACAGATCTAGATGTTGTTGTACTTTGAGTTATCTTCTAACAAAAATGAACAATTATTAAGAATTTTCTGAATTAAAAAAATCATTCACATTTCAAATTTAGAGATGCTTAGAAACTTGATTGCATCCTTGTATTTGTTGGTTTTGCAGTACAAAGAAGGTATTGTCTTACACAGTATTTGTAATTATAAAAACACCATTTGTTTAAAAAAAAGAAAAAAAAAAGGCAGTCAGAATGAGATGTTTTCAGTCTTTTTATATTTGTCATTAAAAGAATACCTGGCAAATTAAAAAAAACCCAACTTTTGCTTTTTGCTTTAGCTCAAAGTTTGACACATTGATACTCTTGCTCAGTTTCTTGTCTTCTCATGTTTTGGTTGTTGCTAAAGTAACTGTCTTGAGCTGATTTTTGTATATCATTTTAGTGACATGATACACATTACAATGCAAATAATCTCTTACAGGTGTGATTCACCAGCCATAAAGGCTTTTGAAGAATATTGGGCTTTGTGCATATGTGAAAAATTGGGCTTTATGCATATGTGAAAAATTTAGCCATGAATATATATGGTATTTGTCTGAGAGAACATTGACATAGAGACAGAAAAAAGAGTAAGGTGAAAAGCTGTTTCATCTCAAGCTCTTAAAGAAATCTGTCAAACCTAGTAGTAGTGGCCATCTGTTTGGGGAGGTAGTCAGGCTATTAACTACTTCTGTAACACATTAAAATACAGTTCATTTACTGTGCACTGTCTTAACTTTCTTATCAGAAGTTGATCTATTAAGACAACTCTTGTTCTTATTGTGATGCATGATGAGGTAAGTAGTTCTACAGGTAAGGAACATAAAATCCATCAGGTTGGATTAATAAAGTACTACAGAAATAGTTGGCTTCATGTAGTAAAAGTTTTACTTCTTAAAATGTGATATTTAGGCTGTTCAGACTGTGCACAGATTTTATTTAAGAGATGTACAGGTACCTTGTGACAGTAGATAAATGCTTCAGAAAATCTTGTGATCTAGCATTTTTTTTTTCCTTATTAATATACAGTTAATTGTTTGCAGTCTTCTAAATTCAGTAATTATTCTCACCTAATTAAGCTTGTCTACATTTACCTCAGGTTTGTCTTCTGGTCTTTGACAGAAACTTGGCTAAATACTTCAAATATTTTTAGAGGAATACACTGACTCGCCATCTCACTTGCTCACTCGTGACTGGCTGGCTTGGACTGAAGTTTGCCTGCCAAGGTTATCTGATTTTCAGCTCTGCAGTTTTGTCAAGAAAATCTAGCTCAGAGCCTGTCAGAACCCTCCGCGGCCCGATACTTATGATTAGAGAGTAACAGGGCTGCCTAAGCACACAAGTTGTCTGAGACTGTTCTCTGCTGCTGCTCGTACTTGGAATGGTTCAGCTTGTGTCCCCCAAAGAACTGTGAACCGTAAAACCTTGTTGCACTGATCTGCAGTGATGTTATTTGGGCTGGAATGGGCTGAAGATCAGGACTGTACTTTTGAAGGGGACTTCAAAAATTGCATTTGTAATGACCTTTAGAAGCTAATTGGAATGGCCAGGCAGTTGTTTTTCATGTTTTACAGATGACAAATGCTATAGCATTAACTATGCTGATTTAACTGTAGTGTAAACTGGTATTACTCTGTTTGGTGTTTAAAAAAAATAATCTGTATAAAACATTTGATGTCCATCATCAGATGGAATGATTTAAACAAATTATAGTTAGGCCCAGATCTCCTCTAAAGAGTTTGAGGATCTGGTAAGTCAACTGCACTGTTCTATACGAAAAAAGAAAACATACTAGAAATGTGTACAGTTTACTACCTTATCTAAAATAAATGGTGTATTAAAGCCTGGCATTGTCTTTAATAGATGAAATGAAATGCAGTAGATCTTGCATTTGTTTCCTAGCACTACCTCCATTGTTTTTCATTGCCCTTTTTTAAAAAAAAAAAAAGCCTTAAAAATGTTTGACAAACATAGATGTTAATATTTGGGTTCTGTTTTGACACTTTTTGCTAGTTCTTGTTTGCAGTAGTGCTTTACAATTAAAGCAGGCCAACTGGTTTGTATTGCTGCCTATGCTCTTGTATTATCCAGTATCTTTTTGAAGCTACTGTGATTAAAGCATGAATTGCACTAGTGGGATAGTTTATTATCTGTAGCAAGTTACAGTGGGGATAGAGGAAAGGAGCTACCACTGCTTTTCTTTTTACCTTTGCTAAGCTTTAGCTATTTTGTCATATAATCTGAGGGACACATGTTTAATATCAGGTCCATTTAACTGTCAGCTGCAAAGCTGAATAATCCCTAGTGTATTGAAATTACTTTTTAAAAGTTCTTTACTGTTCTGGCTTGCTGCTGCACAGATTGTTATTCTTCTTGACAATGTTCAGTGCAAGCAAAAGAAAACGCACTAAACTTGTGTCTACAGTATCTAACATAATGGATAATGCATAAGTTTTATTTAAAAAAATCTTAACAAAGTAACATAACCAAGTCAGCTCTGCAAGCAGGAACATGAAAAGCTGTAAGTAAATGCCTGTTAATACCTTCAGTGTGGCTTTAAAACCCTCAGCTTTCAGCTAAAGTCCATGTGGACAAGGCTTACAAATTGGAGTGATGTTGTGCACAGAGTTGTTGCTTAACTTTTCTTGGGAAGAGCTCCCTGTTCTGTAGTGAAATTGCTCTGGAAACTTTTTTTTACAGTACTATCTTTAAAAAAAATGCATTTTTTTTTTAATCCATGTATAAACAGACTGCACTGGAATTCCATGCATGTTTGTTTTCTCACTAGTGCAAAGTAGTGCAGGATTGTTATTTGATCTGCATTAAGTTTGGTAAAGATTTTTTTTTTTTCCCCTACTGGTTTTGATTAAAGGCAAAGCAGCACATTAGTTATCGTACCTTTCTGGTGTTTTACTGATTGTGTAGTTTCTTTGCACTTTCTGTGTTCAAGTATTTTGTAAGGCAGGAAGTATTCTGAGACTCTGTGTTACCTCTTGCCCTTGGATGGTGAATGACTAAGAGTAGAATTTTAAAATAGCAAAACAAAAGGAATTTTTATTTTTATCATTTTATTACATGAAATCTTCCATGAAAGTTGTAAAATCTTTTGTAGATCCACAGCAGAAATACCTACGAAGTTTATTATTATCAGTGCTGTTATGTTCCAGGTAAATCAGCTTCCTATCTATGGTACAGCAAACCAAACTATTACATTTAAGTTATAGGCTGCTTCTATAATAGGCTTTTGTCATTGATACAATTTGCATGTCACAATCACACCTGAGTTTGTTTCAGAATTAATGAGCAAAAAGCAAATGTAACATACTGAGTTTTCTCTTGTGGCTGACCCTAGTATAAAACAATTAAAAACTCAAGGAAACTGAGATGGGACACCGACAGACTTGCTTAAATTACTCACAGTATGCAGTACCTAATGCAGTTCAATAATCCAGTATTTTCTTGGCATTGTTTAAATGGATTTGATTTTTACAGGCTAAACTCCAAATGTAGGCATCCCCAAATCAAGTTGATTTCTATCAGGTAAGAAGGAAGGACATGCATGTTGACCCTCCAAAATGTTACCTGGCTTTTTCATAAAGGCTTCAAGTATGTTCCACCTGCTTCTTGTGCTGTAAGTGCAACCGTGCATACGTGAAATTTAGTGCACGATCTCCCTTCCTACCCAAGAACTGGCACATTTTGGTTCTTCTGGAGTTGCTTCCTGTGTTTAGGTTTGAAAAATGATGTCTGCATTGACCTTGCTACAAACTAGAGCTGAGTGCTGAAAGAAAGTACTTACTAACTTAATTTAGACCATTTGCTGCTGTTCAAATCCTGTAGGCATATTTTTTAGGTTGCAAAAACCTTATTTTTCCTCTGATGCTACTGCTCCTTAGGGTATTGAATGGTATTTCCTAAGTAAGTAAACTCTTGCACTAAATCAGTTTGCTTTTTGGTAACAACCCTATCTCTGTTAAGACTCTTCTGCTGTGCTGCATTTTCTGTTCTCCAAATATAGCTCACAGAATTGCATATTATTCCCTCGTTGTGGGTGTGTCCTCTTTAAAGATGTAATCGGCTGCTAAAATTTATATACATCCATGCCAGTAAGTTTAAGGAATTCTTTCTCAACAGCTTCAGCTTTCTCATGCTTGAATCTATTGGGAAATGAGCATTTTTTCAAGATTCTTTGCTGAAAAGGCGCAAATACCCATAAAACGTGGTTTGGGGCTGTTAACTGCTGAAGGATTATTTTGATTTTGATTGCATTTAGACCCACATTTAAACAATCAAGTTCAGCTGATAGTTATACATGATACATACACAGGTGATACCTACTGATCTCTCCTAGAAGTAATCTCAGCCTGCCTACTTAAAGTTTACTATTCACACGCTCAACTCTGGGCTTAACTGCAAATCCTCCATCAAAAGCTGCATTAAGAACTTCATCTAGACAGCTTGCCATAACAAAAGTCAAGTCTTGCCGTACATTCACTGCAATTTCCTCAAGATCTTTCTCATTTCTTCGAGGAATGATAATTCTCTTCAGTCCAGCTCGGTGTGCTGCCAGGACTTTGTCTTTAATTCCCCCAACCTAATAAGGAGAAGAAACGCATAAAAAAAAATCCATGATGCTAATTGAATAAAGTAATCATTGTAATATGTCACATCAGGAGTTAAATTTTAATGAAAGGTTCTCCCTCCCCCAGTCATTTAGGAAAGCAAAACTGCAGCAATAGTTTTAGCTCATATGCTTAATGAGGGAAGTATGTTGAAATGCTACAGCACCCCTTCTGTAACAGTAAGAGAAAAAAAAAATAATCTAGCAATGCAGGTACAGTAGTGGAAGAGTCATTTCAGAAATTGTTTTTCTTAAGAAAGAGGGCCTGAACTTTCTTTTTTCATACAGCAATGCTGAAATCCTGTAGAGCAGGATTTCTGAATCCTTAGAACAGAAGGTATTTAAAGATAAATAAAGTATTAAGTTTAGGGGGAAAATAGTCTTAAGGATGCAGTGTCACACAATAACTTGGGACGTACTACAGAAACCGCATGGAAAAGGAAACCTGCACTCCAAAACTGCAGAGGGCTTTGTGCTAGAAAAACAGGCATCACTTCAGTAAGCCACCTGGGTGTTTTTTGTAATGAGATGTAAGGAGGGGGTTTAAATGAGTTTTTCTTCTAGTCACAGCTGTAGCTTCTTCCCCTTGAACTCTTCTAATCCTATTTAAAGACCATCTTGGAGAAGAAACTTGTCATTTTATGATGCTTTAGAGGAAAAGAGAGCCATGTATGATAGCACAAAGGGCAAAATTGAGGCTGCTTTAAAACAAGGTAGTAGTGAACCGTAAGTCCTCATGCTGATCAGTCTTGTCTGGACAACGCTACCTACTTGCGCACTGCTTGCTTTTTGGGCAGCGGACGCAGTTAAGGGAATGCTCCTATGAATTAAGTTACTAATAACAGTAGGACTCCAGACAACATTCAGAAAGAAGGTAAACCTGGTTTAGTATTTACAGAGACCTAATTCTTGCATCCATCCTAAACAGTAGGCAAAATCTGGTCACTGGTGCTGTAAAGGCAATTTATTTAGAAAGCTAAGCAAACCTGTTCCAGATCAGAGTTAGTGCCATGTTTATTTCTCACTAGAGCCTCGAACAACAGGCTACCTTGTCAGTCTAACTGCTACCAGAGTGCTGTTTCAGACAGCCTTCTGCCTTACCATGTTATCTCTGGTTTGCCAACTTCATCCTTCCTTTGTCCCCTCATTTGCTATGAGATGATGACTCCCATATCTGCTCAATCCTTTAGGCCACACTCCATTTCATACATAAAACTAAAGCTGTATTTGAGAACTTTCCTTTGCCCCCATGCTTTGAAAAAAGCTTTACAGGAACACCATTCAGCTGGAGTATATACAAGGAACAAAATTTAAGAATCTAAAACCACATGTATAGATGCCATTTCAAGAGTAACCTTATATGGAATTACTGTAAGAGCTTTAAGAAACAACTTCTCAACTGGAGATTGTTCCATAGTCGTAACTCTGAGGAAGCACGTTTAGAAATTGCAATAATAAATATTTTGGAACCATCTTGAATTTTAAGATTTCTAGGTTTCCTTTTTAACTAAACATTTTAATGTGCTTTCCCTGAAAAGAGCATCAAGGCTGGCTTTACCATGAACGGCCAAGCAGGCAGGAGTGGTGCAGTGCCACAGCAGGCTGCCTTCCATCAGCCTCTTGCAGCGGCACCAGCAGAGACTGGATTGCCGTGGAGGAATGAGCCAGTGAGACTTTGCTTTGTAAATGGCTGTAAACAGATTGTATATCCAGAATAGGGAGAATTAATACAAGTTAGCTCTTTTCGCCAATGATGCTTACTGGAAGAACAAGGCCTCTTAGTGTAATTTCTCCTGTCATGGCTACATCTGAACACACCAGCCGCTCACTGAAGAGTGAAGCAAGACAGGTTACTATGGTAACACCAGCAGATGGTCCATCTTTTGTGACAGCTCCAGCTGGGAAGTGCAGATGGATGTCAGTGTTGTCAAGGAGATCAAAACTTCCAGAAGCTTAAGGAAAAAAAGAATGGTTTGCATGTGAAAAATCTAAACCCATTTTGTTCCCAGTCTTTATTCTAAAGCCCACCAGAGAACTAAACGTCTTAGCACTATTTATTAACAGTAGACTGAAAAAAAACCCACTATCTTGCAGAGACCCTAGAAAAACAAACAAAAAGAAAACCCAACAAGCTTTCCTAGTCCAGATTCCTAGACAAAACCATAACAAGAAAAGCAACAGGCTCAGTATTTGCATGTGTTGGGAAATTCAGAGCAGGGGTTAATGTAGAAACCAAGGAATTCCTACATAGAATTTTTAAGGTTTTTTTATGCCCCAAACTATAAATGTCAATTTCCAAAGAACATACCACAAAGTCTGCACTCCACAGAAACCCAGCATTAACCAATATTATAAAGCAAAATCTCATTTACATCTTTTCACCTTACTTAACCTGTAGGACATAACTGTAAATTAGAAAGGTAAATGTGTATGTGGTTAATGCCAGCAGCATTTCATACATTAATTCAATTTACATATCTAAATTTCCATAACTAATGACAGATACTGGACAAGTATTTGACTATTCAGCAGCTGATTAAACTAGAAAGCGCATTTCCAGAACTCTTGGGAGATTCAAACAAAACCCAAGAGAGTTAAAAGTTTCTTGGCTGCAGGCCTATTGCACTGCAGTTCCAACAGCTGCCATACAAATGCAGCTAATTCTCGAAATACTAAAACTTGGACTACAAAAACACTTAATTTCAGAGCAAAAGTATGGACTCTGTATCTCCATCATGGATGTACTGCTGGACAGCTAGAGTGTAAAACTGAGTAAGAGGCAGCATCTGCCCCAGCTGAGCAGCAACACCTTGGCCCAGAGGCTGTCCCCAGCCTTCCAGGCTGCTGCAGGGAGGGACTGGCCAGGGCGGGAGGATCTGCAGTGACAACTCCTGTTCTGCCTAGGCTGACCTGCTGGCCAGGGCACTAACGCCTCAGCTTGGCAGGAATTGGAAAAAGAACTACAAAAAGGAACTCTAGAGCTGATTTCATCTTCGGAGTAGCACTGATTGCTGGAAAACCCTTTTTCTGTTAAGGTGACACTTAATACATTTCCACAATGAGCATGAGTAACTTCCACTGTTACTCAGCAATGTTACTAAAAAATATTACTGAAATATTACTGAATTTGTTGAAAAAAATACCGAGTTTTGGGATATTTAATTTCCATGCAATACTAACGCTTCCTTTACTTGCACCCCTGCAGTGAGGCCAGTGGATGCAGACAATCTGGCTCTGCACTGTTGGTCCGTCTTTGCCAACCTACCGTTGGTTAGCTGGTATCTCTTCGCATTGCTGCGCAGCCAGCTAATTGCAAGATGCGCCGACTCCTTCATAACATCACCAAGCTGGCCAGTCAGAGTAAGCTGACCCTCTCCATCCATGCGACTGGCTTCTACAAACATGATCTCTCCCCCTAAGGGAGTCCAAGCCAAGCCTATGGCTACTCCAGGCTGACTTAACCGTTCAGACACCTGAAGGAAAATAACACAGGAAACGGATCAGAAAACAGTTGTAACAAAACTATTACAAAAAAAAAAATTTCATAGTTGCCTTCACAACAACTGTGCCCACTAAAACACAGAAGTTAAGCCCAAGTGTCTGATTTTTTATTTTTTTTTTAAATGCAGCAGTAATTCTGCCTTATGTGTAAATGTTATTACAGAATAGGAGCTGTATGTGGCTGCTTAGCTTAAGGCAATGGCAAACATCTGGGTATATCATTCTTGAAACATTCCCTAACCCCAAAAGTTCAATGAGAATCTTTCTCTTCAAAGGACTTCAAGTATTTAATCAATCCTGCCTAAATGCTTATATGCTACTACACTATACAGAAAAGCTGGGACAGGCTGGAGAGGGTCCAGAGAAGGGCCACACAGATGATGAAGGGACTGGGAAGCCTGTCGTGTGAGGAAAGGCTGGGAGAACTGGGTTGGTTCAGTCATGAGAAGAGAAGGCTCATGGCAGACCTTCTCACCATGTTCCAGTATTTAAATAGTGGCTACACAGAAGATGGAGACGCCCTTTTTACAAGGTCACGTGTAAAAGATGGGTACAAGTAACTCCTGGGGAAATTCTGACTGGACATAATTTTTCACAAGGAGAGCCCCTGTAATAATCTCCCCAGGGAAGTGGTGGATTCCTCAACATTGGACGCGTAAGATTCAGCTGGATAGGGTGTTGGACTGTCTTTTGCCAAGAAAGGGTGGACCAGATGATCCTTGAGGTCCCTTCCAACCTGGTATTCTACAGTTCTATGACTTAATCCATCTGCTAGAGGTCTATTTGCTCTGACTCTGTTTGTTAAAGCCATTTTTGCTCCTGAATGTTACCTGAAAGATTTTTTTAAAGGTGGTTGCATTGTCCAAACTACTGTCAGACAACACAATGATTTTGTTCATTGTAAACATTTATGAATTTGAATAATGAAAACACAAGTCTGCGAGCAGGCTAGATATGAAAGAGGATGGGAAATCTGACTGACTCCCATTAGTAATCACAAGTACAGCTCCTCAGCATGATCTAACTACCAAGTTATGTATTTATTACAAGGAAGAAAAGAAACTGGATGAATTTTTACTGTGTCAGGCAGTGACTGGAGCAAAAGACAGATACTCCTTTGTAAAATAAAATGATAGGCCCGTTTTAAAATACTTTTGTCTCTTACTGAAATGCAGAAGTGAAAGTTGATTTGATTCATTCCCGAAAGGGATGAATTCTTCATTAAATTGTTTACAGAATTTAAAGAAATGTTTCATTTCTTGGATAAAAGTCAAAGGAGCCTCACAAAACAATAAAAAAATTCCAATTTTGAAATCTGAATTTCTAGTTACATTAAAATTTCTCAAACATTTTTGTCCCTTCTAAGCATGTTTAACATTCTATTTTATACTACTTACAAATCCAGAGCAACAGACCAGGCTTTTTTCTCTAGCATCAACTCCTCCTGCACTGCACAGCTTACCATAATCTTACAAGAGTTAGCAAAGAAGTAAACTAATCAGACTTTGCAGACACTGAAAAGGCAAAGCTCTGTATACACAAAGTTGATTTGCTTTTAATCATCAGCCCAGCTGCAAGATCAGAGAAATCTGCATAGAAGCCCGTGCAGCCATGTACCTTTGGTCCAGAGGCAGAAATACTTGTACGGCCCTGCTGTGAGCTGGCTGTATTGGCAATACTTTGATTTGTGAGCTCCAAAGATAGTTATTTATTAAGTATTCTAGTCCCTTACTAAAACGCCTAAGCCCACTAGAAATGCTTCTGCAAGTCCCCAAGAAGTACACAGGCCCGAAGTTTTGTAAATCAAAGAACAGCAGTGGATTACCTAAGCAGAACAATATGGCCTACCATGAGATTGTAAGAACCAGAATTCTTTCTAAATAGGAGCCAAAGGTAAACACTTGAGTATTAGGCTGAAATCCATCCCTATTCTGAACATAGAATAAAAATCAAGATCATAAAACTTACGCTAAGTTTTCTCTTTGTTTCACAAATAGAAAACAACTTCCTTTATGCAATAAAAGTGATCAACTATTCACTCTACAGTTGGTACCTCTGGTAACTAGCCAAAGAGATGCACATTTTAAAAAAAAAAAAAAAGCTCAACACAAGTTGTACTAGTAGTTGTAGACAACTCAGATATATGACAAGAACAACTTTGCTCATGCAAGAGATTTGGTGAAGCAAAGAAATAAAGCATTTAAAGTCTTATAAAATGAAATAACATACATAACATGCTTCTTGTTGCAATTTCTGGTCTTGTATTACATGCTTTGCCAAATGCCATACTCAACTATCAAATGTTGTCTTCTAAGTTTGACGACTAAGATTTGAAATGTGACCCTTGCTCAGGATCACTGTTTCTCGGTTTGAGGGAAATTAGCACACCATGGAAGCACAGTGCAAGCAGCCCCAACCCTGACTACAGCAGAGCTGTGCTGACACAGGACTGGTGCAAACTTGACTCCAGCTGTCAGAAGAGACAAGCAGCAGAGGCCAGCGGGGATGGTGTTACGCTCCTGGATCTAGCTGACAACCAGGTAAGTTGGTAACTAGACTTATCTCACACTATGGCAAAGGAAGCCACACAGCCCCTCGGTTCTCTCGGGGCTCTCAGTTACCTCCATATATCACTCCATTTATTCTTCCTAGCATGATTTAGCTAGAATGCCTGTGTCTTTTTCTAGCACTTATGGAAATTGTACAGAATAGAGTGTTTCACTTTTATGGTATCAAAATACCTCATCAAATATTTCAGTTTTTGTTAACATTTCTATATCCATTCCCTGTATTTTATTATTTACACTCACTGATTAGCTTAGTAATTTCTTATTAACTCAGGTTAAAAAATCATTTCATCCTGCTTACACTGAAATCCAACAATATTGAAGCATTCTCCTTTACATACAATCATGTATGCTGTCAGCCTGTCAGGTCTTCAAACATTTCAGGTGTAATGAACAAAAGTAGCCATCAAAAAGGTTTATTGGTTTGGGGTTTTGTGTTTTCCTTTTTTTGGACTGGCTCTAACTATATATCAATTCAAACAAGTTTTCAGACTAATTCCACTGTTTGAGAGCTCAGGGGCAGAAAATAGTGAACATGACTCAAGATCAAAAAACAAATGGTTCTAAAGACTCATCACTTGTCTTACCTCCATACAAACTCCTTCCTCTATCCTCAGATAGGTACCTCATACTTTCACAAATAAGTTGAGATCTGAAACTAGGTGTGTAGTAAGTGTTAATCACCTTTCACTCATCATTCTTTGCACTAACTGGTAGACTCAGAGGTTGGCGACTTCTCTTGCTGTACTAGTAGAGACTGTACTACCTCTACTGCAACCTCCTCACCTGAACGTGAACTGATGCACGTTGACAGTCACATGTATAGAAAATGCCCTGGCAGCTTTGGTAACTGTCTTCAGAAAATACCCTTGAAAATCCCTAAAAACACAAACACACACAAAACCCTGTACAACCGTGCAATACTTAGAGGAAAATTAATGTACTTACATTAAACATACCTATGAAAACTTACAGTGAGTTCCACAAAACTCAATCACTCCTGGCAGCTCTGAGTAACAACTTCTCACAAAAAGTGAGAGGAATTTAAATTTTTAAAATTGTTGTTTATACTTTTTAAACAACTTCAATTAAAAATGACCATTAGAATCAGCTGATAACTGGTTATGTCTGTCAGATGATGGAAGAGGTCACTGACCTACATAAACAGTCTTGGGTTTTGAAATTTTTGTAGATGGGCCTAACTCAGTCACAATTTACCTGTAATCTGAGTAGACGAATACATTGTCAGATACATTTTAGCTCCCTGGCCACTGCAGAATTAAAGTCTTAACATTTAGTGCAGTCTTTTATTTTAAAATACTAAAGGTTATTCCAAGATAAAGGAAAAGAGACATCATCTGCAAGTCTGCAGTTCTGGAGTTACTCTGTAAATCAGCATAATTGACAAAAAGCTATTAAGTCATTGATTCATAATGGGAAGATGAGACCCACTCTAAAGCCTTTAGCATTTTTGTTATCCTTCCTTAGGTTCTCCCAACCTGACTGCACAAACCTTTCTTCTAGTCTACTGATTCATTCCCTAGCAAGGCACTGCAGACAAAGTATGTAACAGCAGCTTCCCTTCAAGGGAGGAGGCTTTCCCAGAAATATCACCACAAGACTGATCTTTCTTAGATGAAAATACCTATCTAAACCTGTGCTTTGTACAGGCTTTGCTTCTAAAAGATAATCTAATTTGTTCCTTAATTAGAATTGTGTGGGTCCCGTGAAACAGACCTATTCTTTCATGGCCTCTACACTTCCATTTCTTAGAATAGGTAATTGCACTGACCTAGAGCTTCTGTCACTTCAACTTCACTCACATTATGAGGATACATAATATACAGGATAATTCTGACAGGCCTTCCTGTGGTGCCAACAATATTTTGTTAACTGAGCAGAATTAAGAGAAGACAGACAGACAGAGAGACAGACAGAGAGACCGACAGACAGAGACCGACAGACAGAGACCGACAGACAGAGACCGACAGACAGAGACCGACAGACAGAGACCGACAGCTAAAATCCAGGTCAAAAGAGAAATACTTCATTATAAACACTGGATACATTACAAACCCTTTTTCCCAAAAGTGTGCTGTGCTGAAACATTCCATTAAATCTTTTACAAGTGCTGTCAAGATTATTCTTCCAAAGCCTTACTATGTGATTTATTCCAACATTTGTTCTGCAGGGTGACACATAAGATTATTTATTTGTGATAAATAAATTAATTGTACAAGTATGTGTTGAGCATTCTGTCATGCCTTTCTGCTGGGAGACCTCTGCAGAAAATAAACAAGCAATGCACTGAAACAGTGAAAGATGAATCACTTACTTTAAGGTATTCCCTGAAGGGCAACAGATCAATTAAGTCATGTCATGTTTTCAGTTCTATTTGCTCAGTCTCATCCAAGTACTGACATGGTGGCTGCCTCCATTGTATCTTTATTTCAAGTAATTATAAATGGCAAAATGCAGGTCAAAGGTGAAACTTGAAAGGCTAGATCTAGAAATGAGAGACACACTGCAGACTCCAAAACCAGAAAACATACCAGTAGCCAATTTGAAACACCTGTCATTGAGGCAGGAGCTATACTCTTTCTTTGAAAGAATCTTGGGGGCACTTGAGGAAATTCAATGGAGTAATAGGTTACTTGGGAAAATTATTTAAACAGGAGTTATGTGGCTGAGCAATTTCTATTGAAAAAAATCATGAAGTATGTACTGAAAAGTATTTACTCATTAATAAATAAATCCTGAGCTGCTCAGGGAATTGATGCTGTTCTATTTATGCACTACTTAATTTGTGAGCTAAATATCTTTCCTGACACTCATTCCTCCCAGCTTCCACTGCTACCATCATCATCCGCTAACACAATCAATAGCGCTATCTTCTTTCAACTTGTTTCCTCATTTCTGTCTCTTCATTAAGAATCTCTTTCACTCCAAAATCTTCATGTCAAAAAACCTCAGTTCAGGTCTAAAACTGACTCAATCCTTCTCAATCACTCATTTTCTCCTGCATATCTTGTCCCCTTTTTCTCCTCCAGATCCCACTGGAGTCTGGCTCTCTAGGAGACAAGAATTATCACAGGAAAGTTCTTAAAAGTTTGAATTTTCTCTCTTCTGGAAGTTTTACCTTCATTTCTATTTTCTTCATAACTTACTGGTTTACTGATCTTTTCTCCTGGATAAAGAGAAAAATTTATCATTCCATCAGCAACTGGTTTCCTGTCATAGTGTTACACATACTACTTACACTCAGTCAGTTCACCTGGACCTGAAGTAACGCAGAGAATAACTGCAATGTAAATGGTGAAAAGAGAATCCCAAATTAACAAACTACTTTAATAGATTACATTTTATAGAATGTAGCAAAGTACAGATCGAGGAAAGAAAAAATTCTGGAATATGTCTACTGAGGAAGCATACCTACAGCTGGTGCCTGACTGATCCTAAAACATTTTTAATAGCTAAGAGTCACATTAATCTAACGAATGTCTGAGAACTTCTGGTGCAAAGTGAAGTGGGTTTAATACCCAAAAATGCTGACTGGCTTTAAGAAGGTATGTGGGACAGTCCTTAACACAGCTGCCTCGGAGACAGGATTCCGGGGTTCTACTTTTGGCTTTTCCCAAGAGCACCAAACATCCCCCAAACAAAAGCAAAGTTGTTATAAACTGAAAAAACACCATCACATTCTTAAGCACTGCTGCAGGCATCTTTGCTAAGAGAAAGTTATGCCATTATGTTATTTATGTACCCTGAATTTAAAAAAAATAAAAGCTTCTTTAGGTGAAAAAACACTTGGTGGAACACAAAGAAACACAGTTCTGTTACATTTTTTAAAAAGATAATATTGTATAAACTCAGTCAATAGCTATAGAACAGACAATTAGTCAAACCAGACAGAAACAGCAGTCAAGCAGAAACAAATGAGGATGTTACCTCCATTTCATACATGGGTGGCCCCAGGATATCTTTTAAAGCATGGAAATCAATTAAAATTGGCATTTCAGGTGGCAGAGCCAGGTCAGCTGTGTCACTGATGGATTCTGTTTTTGCATCTTCTGTGACATGCTCCTTGCAATCTAAGAGAAAAAAATCTAATTTAAGATTTGTAGCAGTCTTCCTTGACACAGGAATTAAAAGAAATAATGACAGAGAAAAATAAAATATTCAAAGAAACGCTCAGAAAGTTCATGAAAGTGTGCTTAAACCATCTTTCACAAAAATCCTGTCAAATTAAAGGTAATATGGCATCAAATTTAATTATTAAGCCTAAACATGTTCTAACTGTTCAGTAAAGATAATATTAAATCTAGAGCACTGACAGAGATACAACGCATTTGCTTGAATGCATTTTAAACTAGGTCAAATAGCAAAACACAAGTTCATTTAGAAATTTGCACTTTTTATCAGCTTTGTGCATAAAAACAGTATATGTAGGAGATAATCACGTTTAATGCAGTGCAATATAGAATACAGAGCTGAATATGGAAATACTGAAAGTTCAGTAAACAACTAGTCTCTTTATGTACATTCACAACTGTGATCTCTGTGGTCTCTTTCTACAAGGACATAAATGCTTAACTTCTGACACTAATAACAAAGTTCTGTCAAATACAGTAGACCAGATTACATACACTGCTTTCCACGTGGTTGCACTGCTTATAGCATTCAGTAAGATCTCATTTCACAGTACCAACAAGGACAGTGTACCTTACTGCTCTGTAACTCTGCCTTCCTCTCTTCACACCCCAGTCCCCACACACATAACCTCAACACTAGCTGACCAGGTGCAGGAGAACTGGCTACATGTAGATCACACAGAAATCAGGTCCATGGGAAGCCTAACTCATCCAGCCCTGGTGTGCAAACCCCTTCCAGGCTGTCAGATGGAACTACCACCCCAAGACAGTGCAGCCCACCTTTAGTGCAGCATATGGAGCACATACACTGACATTACACTTTGTGGGTTTTTGTCTCTTATGACTATTATGGCTTTACTCAACCATAAAATCACAGAATGCTTTGGGTTGGAAGGGACCTTAGAGATCCTCTAGTCCCACCCCCCTGCCCTGGGCAGGGACACCTTCCCCCAGCCCAGGCTGCCCAAAGCCCCGTCCAGCCTGGCCTTGAACCCTGCCAGGGAGGGGGCAGCCACAGCTGCTCTGGGAAACCTCTGCCAGTGTCTCACCACCCTCACAGGGAAGAATTTCTTCCTTGTATCTAAGCTAAATCTACCCTCTTTCAGTTTAAAATCTGTTACACCTCATCCTATCCCTACACCCCCTGATGCAGAGTCCCTCCCCACCTTTTCTGCAGACCCTTTCAGCACTGGGAGGCCGCTCTAAGGTCTCCCCGGAGCTTCTCTTCTCCAGGCTGAACACCCCCAACTCTCTCAGTCCCTGAGCATCTTTGTGGCCTCCTCTGGACCCACTCCAACAGGTCCATGTGTTTCTTATGTTGGTGTCCCCAGAGCTGGACACAGCACTGCAGGGGGGGTCTGATGAGAGCAGAGTAGAGGGGGAGAATCCCCTCCCTCGACCAGCTGATTGCACTGCTCTTGCTGCAGCCCAGGACACGGTTGGCTTTCTGGGCTGTGAGCACACATTGCTGCCTCACAGTCAGTTTTCCATCCACTCATACCCCCAGGTCCTTCTCCGCAGGGCTGCTCTCAACCCACTCCTCGCCCAGCCTGGATTTGTGCTGGGGATTGCCCCGACCCATGGCCAGGCCCTTGCACTTGGCCTTGTTGAACCCCATGAGGTTTGCACGGTCCCACCTCTCACTCCTGTCCAGGTCCCTCTGGATGGCACATCCCTTCCCTCCAGCGTGTCGACCGCACCACACAGCTTGGTGTCATTGGCAAACTTGCTGAGGGTGCCTCGATCCCACTGTCCATGTCACCAACAAAGATGTTAAACAGCGCCGGTCCCAGCACCGACCCCTGAGGAACAGCACTTGTCACTGCTCTCCACTTGGACATCGAGCTGTTGACGGCAACTCTTTGAGTGTGACCATCCAGCCAGTTCCTTATCCACCGAGTGCTCCATCCATCACATCCATGTCTCTTCAATTTAGAGACAAGGATGCCATGTGTGACAGTGTCAAAAGCTTTGCACAAGTGCAGGTAGATGACATCTATTGCTCTTCTCTTGTCTACCAACATTGTAGCCCCGTCATAGAAGGCCACCAAATTAGGCACAATTTGCCCTTAGTGAAGCCATGGTGGCTGTCACCAATCACCTCCTCATTTCCCATGTGCCCTAGCACAGTTTCCTGCAGGATCCACTCCATGATCTTGCCAGACACAGAGGTGAGGCTGAGTGACCTGTAGTTCCCTGGGTCTTCCTAGATCATCTAGTCCAGACCCCCTGCCATAGGCAGGGATATCTTTCACTACATCAGGTTGCTTAATTCACAAAATTGACATCCCTGGTTTGTTCAACAGCTAGTTCAGAACACAGCATATACCATCCTTGGTCAGTGGAAAAACCTTAAACAATTTCAGTATAACAACTTATCTATGGCTTTTGTCTTGAAATACTATACTTGCACAGAGTTTTGCTCTTTTCTTTGTTGGATGAGATATTTTAAGTTTTCTTGACCAATAACCACTAGCAGCAAACAATTCCTGAAAGATCAAATTATTAGGCATTTTCAGAAATACCTACAGTTGTGATATATTTTTCAGGAAGGGCTATAAAACCCAATTAGCCAGACAGTTTTAAATGCAATTTACTCAAGCATCATCAGGAAGGCACTACATAAAGCAGTAGTCATGAGTTCAAAAGTGTGCTCCTTCCTTCCTCCATTTATAGTATGATTGTATTTCTTACCTATACAATTGTTTCCTTCATAGAATTTCCTCAAAACGTCCTTTACCTCTGCAAATGTGTTTTCTGTACAAAAGTGAACTGTAATCGGACCATATAAATATCAAAGAGTAAAAACTGTTTTAAACCAGACTACACAGCTGGGGTTTTTTGCATGAATAAGCTCAGGAACTTAAACAACATTTGTACTAGGCCCACATTGAACAGTTACTTAAGCGACTCTACACAGAAGGAGAATGTAAGCAGGGAGTCATTTCCCTACAGAATCTGATCCAGATGCAAAAGGCTCATTATCATTTTCAAGAGCCCTAAGCAATTTTTTAGTGAAACATTTATTAGAGAAATGAAAAATACTTGAACAATCCAGATGTTTCTAAGGTTCTGTGGCAGTCTTATAGCAGTGCCTCCCTGCCCTGAGGCTTCCATTAAGAAAAAAGCACTGTACATATACATATAGTGAAGATATTTCTTCCCACCCCAAAACCACAAGCCTAAGACATATTTAAAGCAACATTCTGTATTACACAGGAATGTATATTGAGCTTCAAGACTTCTGCACCATATTTTGGGAAATTATCTGCTGTTGCTTCCTTTCTTTGAATTCTTTTTTACTTTCAAGAAACTGTCTTCCTTTGCATATCAATGCATGCACAATAATTGAAGATCCAGGAATTTAAACAAAATCACTGATCTATCTATTTAATATAATAAGAGGCATTCTGTGCTCCAAAAGTAATCCTTGGAATGGATGAAGAGAGAAAGTCTCCTTTCACAAGATACAAACTATTCTTTTATTAATCCTGATACATAAAGGCCTTTTTACAGTTAATTCTGTTGCATCTCAATGTTCACTAATGCCTTCATATAGTATCGAGGAAAACATTCTACATCACTACTACCATAACACCACCAACTCAGCTTTCATTCAGGACTCAGATCTAACAGTTATTACCCAACAGCCACTAATCTTTCTGTAGTACAACTCATTGTTCCACACACAAATCCCATTCCTTTACTGTAGATGCTACCTTAGTCAGATGGCCCTCCTGTTGTTCCAGCATGTCTCTATATTTTCGTTGAACTACTATTTCTGTATATAATAAATTCAAATACATAAATACTAGCAAGTCTAGGAAACATAACACTGCATGCTATTGCAGCTCAGACTAAAATTTCAACACTATGGATCTTCAAAATCTGAGTAAGTTGATACAACAATCCATATATTAAAACAAAACTGAGTTTAAAAACAACTGCTTTTGTACTATACCAAGATCTTGCCACCTAACACACACAGTTTACTATTTCTGCTTGCTCTTATTTCACCTAGTTCTACGTATAGAGCTGAAGGAGACAGACTTCTCATAAACAAAGCAGTAGGTAATTTTTGAGGCCACATGCCCTATTAAAAGAATCAGAAACACTTTCATTGAGTTTATATAATCTAATTAGTAGACCCTATTTTATAATCTGTAACAATAACAAACTCCAGACTTTTTCTAAAAATATTAACCTAGATTCTGACATTATCTAATTTTCCCAGTGATGTTTCAAAATATAATTACAAACACTAACTTTTTCCTTTAAAGGAAAAAACATCTTCTTTTGTCACCTCTATAGAAGTGCTGACTATGAACAATCTATAAAGATGCAAGTAATTAAGATTTCCATTAATGATGACAAGTACATGTTCCCTACTTATCCCAGATGAATAGTCATAAACCATAATACAAGTTAAATGACACATTTACCTGAAACAACAGTTAAATTCAAGTTTCCAGAAACAGGAATTTTGGTTAGGACAACAGTTTAAGCATCTTACATTTTGAGTTAATTTGGAGGAATCAGCTAAAAAGTCAAGCAAGTGCCCTTAATAGAGCTCCACAGGGCACTGGAGGAACCACCTGCTGATCTACTATTACATTACTGCTTAAACAAAAGAAGCATGGTACTGAGTTGTTTTAACATTTAAAAACTGGAAAAACTACAAAACTCCAACTACTCAATGACAAACCCTCTCCTCCTTCCCCCCCCAAATCTAAAAAACAACTGATCAGCCAATAAAGATTAAGTTTGTAAAATTTTTAGAGCAGAATCTGCAGCTACTCAGCAAAAATCATGACATGTTCCTCAGGAATCTGCCTTTGGAAGTTCCAAAACCAAAACAAAATCTTGCATGTAAATACCGGATTTGTAAGAAAATGGACTCCTAAGAAAACATACTGACAATGAACTACTCTATATAATTC